ATGTTGGGAAGGAAAGAAGGAAGAAAAGCCACAGAAACTAGAGAAGGACAACTACTACGATGACGAGCAAAGTGGTGGTGATGGTGTTATCAAGAAGCTCTGATGCAGTTGGTACGGTAGTGGGAAATGTCACGTCGTCTCCTGGACATGGAGTTGATCTACCTAACTGACATCTGGTGGCCAGTCACCATTCTGACCTCATCCAATCTTCGCAAGTGGACACATCAGCCACACTAAAAATTGTCAATCGCTCTAGCGAGCAAGCCTCGATGATCATCCTTGCACGATTATACGAGATAGGAATACAGGTCGGTCCAGCAGAGAGCCACACTCACCACTCGCTGAGGCCTTCAAAACAATGCTTCGAGCCGGCACGAAAGGGAAGAAGGAAGCGCTCCAGATCATTGCTGTCCGCACTCACCGAGATTTAGCAGATGATTGTGAAGAGACATTAGAAGAAAAGAACAAAAAATTAGCTGAAAATTGCCATCACCTCACTTTCCAGAAAGATGTGATTTTCAGAAAGGATGACATGAAGGAGATAATCTTCCCAGTCAACACAAAAAAAGCAGACGAAGATGACAAAAAAGAGGCCAGTAAAATAAGAGCCAGCATTGAAAGGGTGGCAAAAAAACACAAGATTCCAATCTGGTGGTTCATCCTTCAAATGATCCTAGAAGCACTAGCTCACAGGCTTGGAAGAAGAGTGCTCAGCAAAGATGAGTGCCTCCATATTTCAGATTCACTGGGGTTTGTTGAGGGAGAACTCGATACTGCACTAGCTTTCTTCGACAAACTCAACATTTTCCTGTACAAGAAGAACATTCTTCCCAACGTCGTGTTCACCAATCCGCAAGTCCCCGTGGACAAACTCTCGAGGCTCATCGAGAAGCAATACCACCTGAAAGCTGCAGAGGCAGATCCAACAAAAGCTACCAGTGTGGCAATGGATGGTCAGTGGAAGAACTTCCGTGACAGTGGAATCCTCACTCTCGAATGTCTCAATGAATTCAAGGCTCACTATGTGGATGGAATCTTCACAGCAAGTGATCTTCTACAACTGCTCAAGGAGCTACTCATCATTTCCAGATTGTCACCCACTGAATACTTCTTCCCGGCAGTCTTGAGTATGACCCCAGAGTCTCGAGTCAATCAGTTCCTTGACCGGTGCAAAGAGTCAGGGATAGCTCCTCTAGTAGTGAAGTTCCCCACCGGCTGGGCTCCTCCTGGTGTGTACTGCTGCAGTGTGTGCCACCTTCAGTCCAAGACTGGATGGGAGGTTGTCCACAAGCCACCCACCCCTTCTGGCAAGGAAGAAACATCCGACACGCAACTCTGCCAGACTTCTCGCAACTCAATCACATTTGCAAAACATGGGAGACCAGGCTCAGTGACATTCATCGACAACTTTTCCTTTTTCATTGCCTGCGTTAACGTTGACACCAGGAAGATGGAGCGAAAGGAAATGGTGGAGCACTGTCAGGCCGTGAGGTCAGAGCTGTTTGCTGCTGTCGAGGCAGGTCTGGAGAACACTCACCACGAAAAATCTCATCCAGTCCCTGCCTTTCTCTGTCCTCACCAGAACAAGTCTTGTAGCACTAGATTACACACTGCACATCTCTCAGAGAATGGTGGGAAGTGGATATGCTCCGTAAATTATGACATTTTCAACTATCTTACTCCAGACCAAACCCTGTGGCTTAGTGGAACAGGTGAGATATTAGCATGTGATTTGGTATATTTATTATTCTGCCATCATTTACATAGGAGGTGTTACTCCATCGAGAACCTCAGCCCCCATAATGCGAGATCTTGCCAATCGTGTTGCAGCCGTAATTCCCCACAAGTGGAAGCAAGTCGCAATTCAACTGGATCTCAGCCGAGGTGAAAGGAAGGCCATAGAGAAAGATGAAGATAAATCCTTCGATTGCTTCATTGCCGTCCTTGAACAGTGGAAACAAACAGCGAATCTGCCCTACACTTGGAAGACAATAGTCACTGTGTTGAAGTCAGCATCTGTTGATGAGGCAAGATTAGCAGAGGAGCTGGAGAAAGACTTTTGCTAGATTCATGCTTTTGCGTGTAGTTGTAATATGGTGGATAAATGGATAATGGCTCCGGGCCATAATTATTTCATTGCTCATGAAAATTTCCCTCCACACAAGCCCTGTATCATTGCCACTCTTATTTGTGACATACTGAATGATGTAGTGCGAGAACTGGTAAGAGGGCTAAGAATGCGCATTGTAGTTGAGCAAACATGAACTATATATGCAGTCCCAACTCAATAACAATGCAAAGAGCTGTCAGCGAGCTGTGCATTACCTGTCTCATGTGCTTAGGAATTAATGAGACATGCCTGCACATTATACGAGCAACATACTCACGCTTTGCGACAATATTATTATATATAGGGCTTGTGTCGAGGAAAAATAAAATTTACGAGAAAGCTTGAAATTAATATGGAGCCATTATCCATGGTACTACTGCATCACATACACTAGGTCATCCCTGTCTTTTCTCCTTGCTTTTTATACCATCTCTATAATATTCCACACTTTTTAATTCGAAGAATTTTTCAATTTACTTGTACACTAACATACTATAATTGAATGGGGTTGAAACAAGTGTCCAGTGCATGAAATTAGACACAAAAAGTCTGTGGACAGAGCACAATCAATTTTGTTCTGCCATATTCTCCGCTGTTGATCAGCCATAATAATAAGTTATGGTAATATTAATTCTACAATAGATGAGTTGCGGAGTCAATCTCAGTCAACCTGCGTCGAATCATCCAAGTCATCTAGTCAGGGCTCACTGGAGGATGCTTGGAGACCTCTCTTCATTATCTCCACGGACTTGCAGCGGACTCTAGCTGAGCTAAGAAGCCACATGCTATTCAGCCACGCCCTCACCGCAGACCGCGCGTGGGAGTGAGGCTGGGAAAGAAGGCGTAGCTAGCTAGCCTACGCGCTATACGCGCGCGGAACAGGACGATTATTGAATTGCCTGGAAAATGTCCGATGTCCGACTGTATAATTTCATGCACTGAGTGTCCTTTGTAGATAGGTTGTGCCTACTCGGAGGCCTACTCGGAGGGTCCCTTATTTGAGGTGCCACTGTAGTATGTGTCAAAGCATTTCATCATGATTTTATTTACCAATAATTAGACAGTAGCTATATAAGAGAAACAGAAAGAGTGGCAGTCAGTGTGGCCAGTAGCAGAGAGTCTGGTCGTGGTGAGGCACAGGTAGACACTGGTCCAGGTCCTCACACCCTGGAGGAGCCCAGTTCTAGAGACAGAGGGGCCAACACCAAGCTAAATATTATATTATGTATGCTCTATCTTGCCATGCACAACTTATGCCATAATGTATGGCTATTTTATCAAGAATCAGTGGGCATGAACACAACTAGGTGGGGCTTGAAATCAGGACCCTCTGTTCTCTAGACAGAAACCTCTACCACTGAGCTGAGGGCAGCTCAGCAGGCTGGGTGCAAAGGCAAGGCAAAGGCAAACCCCAAACCTTGTGCTCATATGCATGGCACAGAAACCCACCACTTAACCCTTAGCCAGCCACGGGCATATGCCCAGAGCCTCCATATGTAAGTCCATAATAATTAACCCTCGGCGGCGCGCATGCGCAGCGAGGGTTACAGTACTTGGTCTGTCTGTCCGTCTGTTACCACGATTTCTGCCACCACGCGCAACAAACAGGTAAAATAGCGACACCAGCGGGTTCAGAGCTACACTGGCTTTATTTTAAAATAGGCGATTTTCGTAAAAGTGCCGCGTTCAGAAGTTATGGCGTGAAAACCAAGTGAACAAGCCAATTGCTAATTAGCACTGGCTTACCTGGACCTGATCCGCTTGCTCTGTTTACCTCGGAGGCACAAGAAGCCGACTCCTGCATGCTATCTACTACTGTAGCTAGCCCGTGTCAGACTCTCCGCGTGCTACTAGCGGGAGATCAAGAGTTAATAGGCCCAGCCCATCAATTAGCGGTACCGCGCATGCGCAGTTCGCCGAGAGTTTGCACTTTAGTGCTTTTCATTTATATGGGAATAATTCTAGGCGTTAAAATTTTGCTTATTTAAGGAGATACCATGGCGTCCAAAGGGTTAATATGTACGAGCAGACTGAATCATGGTGTGGTAGATAATTCAATCATATGTATAGGCAACATCTTTCGAAACATATTTTGAGAATGTTACAAACGGGACTGCTCCAACCGATGATACTCGGATATCATGTCACTAGAATGCATGGCAGAACCTCATAGTGTGTGGGGTGTGCTGTGATTACCATGACAGCAGGGTCACAGTAGTTGAGTTGGGGAGCTCCTTTGACCAGTGTCTTGTGGTGCTCATCAACTATCGGCTGAATCAGCTTCATGGCTTCTATGTACTCTGCAGTCTTGGGCCTTGAAATTTCAAAAGAGAAGATAGAATGTGAGAGTAAGGTTTCGTTGAGTGTGTTACATATGTTTAACATTTAACCACCCACAGACAAACGTGACTTACTTGATGAGGTATTTTTCTCCTGGGTCTCTGCCAAGGTGGAATAGAAGTGGCTGAGAGGTGTGGTTTACCTGCACACACCCGACAATAGGACTCTATGACATTAACATAATCACACAATAAACTTGGCCACAGTTTATATCTTCTTAGGAGATTAAGCAACTGCATGTACATGATTGTGCCTATGGTTATGAGCTGCTGGCTAAGATACCTGGTCATGGGTGGTTACATTAGCAATCTCTTCTCCAGGACAAAAGTCAGTTCCCTGCACACACACACACACACACACACACACACACACATTAGCGACATATTATGTAACCTTAAATAACTCAGAACACATGTTTGGGACCAAATGAAACATAGTGTGTTTAAGCTCCTTTAGAAATGTTGGATGAATGGTGTATGTCAGCAACCGTACAATGGGAAACTTTCGAGGGAAAAAACGTTCTCTATTCTTGGGAGAAAACATGGCAAACTAGAATATCATGGAGTACACTTGCTTGTTCTATTATACAATAGTATTAGTGTGGAGTAAGTTTGCAGTTGGCTCTGAACAACTTATTTGGATGAAGCTATCGCCCTCAAAAGGCTTCCAGCAGTAATGATAGTAACAAACATGGTTGAATTCATCGATAGAGTTGGTCCAGGTCCAGTAGTGTGCCTTGTACATCTGGTAGCGAACTGCCATCAGTTCATCTCCACGATAGTAGAATACTGGACTGAGGGTAGAGAAAATTCACATAGCAACAGGCATTTGGCAGTATAAGGACTAACTTTGACTGAAAAACGGACACCGCATTATTGGGCCATATTGTTCAGTTCTCTCTTTAGTTAATAATAGCTATAGCCCTTATGTACTGTCACATTCCCCTGAAAGTAGGTGAAAAGGCAACTGCAAACATGACAAGAGTGGCAAGGGAAAAGTAAATTGAGGGAGTTGACTAATAACCAGTGATCATGTGATACAGATGCAAGCAGTGAGCGAGCGAATGAGCGGTTCGTGATTGGACACATTGTAGTGTTGCATTCAACTTCCACAGTATAGTTAACCAGTACCCAGTACACTATACCAGGAAGGGTCATTAATTCAAGTTTGGGACTATTTTTGTGCTTGCACGTATGTTGCAGCAGTAGATAATACCACACACTTCACTGGGACTAGGGGAGTTCACATGCACCCTATAAGCTACGCTGGGTTACATGTGCCCATGGGAAATGCATTGTTCCGCACCGGTCTGTCACTGTTCCATTGACCAAAATCGGGAGAAGGGACATCCCATCGATTATCCGGTCGTCCGGCTCCTTGATCTCGGCCAGGTCTAGGGCAGTACTGAACCAGTCCATCATGGAGCCCAGCTGATGGCTGACAGTACCTCCAGCCACTGTCCCTGTGGGCACACCTCCAGATTACGACCTACACTGACAACTAAGTTAGTTAGTTACTGTGACTTTCCCTTTATCTGAACATGCCGATTCAACACAACCAACCTGATATTATACCATCCCTCTTTAGTGTGAAAGGATGCAATGATGCTCTGTGGCGCTAGCAAGTCTACACACATCTGAAGACTGTTAGGCTACATACTGCCTGTGCTCTATGTAAGCTATATGAAATTCGCGAGAACAGTGAGTCTATGTACATAGAATGGTTTATAAGTCACATCTTCGAAACTGCAGTAGTTAGACCTAGGGAAGTTAGGGTAACCTGTAGTGTGGTAATAGTTATGCCACCAGACCTGGCCACCAGGCAATGGTTGGTTCTCTCATTCCTCCTTCAAATGTCGTCTCTTTCCCACAGAGAAATGGTCCATTACTGCCTCCTGTATAGAGCAGGCAGGGGATTAAGCTGCTTGCTTGGGTACATATTTTAATGCTTCCCTTTATGACTGGTTGTAGCCCAGTTATTATTGCTAGGAATGTCATATCACAAAAAGAGGAGCTATTGTAGCCCGGTTATTGAATGTCATACCAGAAACTATTGTAGCCCGATTATTAATGCTAGGAATGTCACATTAAACACACATTGACAAGAGCACCACTTATATACTGTACGTAACATTATAATTATACCCATCTCTTTGGCATAAGTGGCCCCTCCGTTATCAGAGGAGAATATGACCAGAGTGTCACTGGCCACTCCCAGCTGAGTCAGCAGTTTGAGAATGACTCCCACTCCATAGTCCAGCTCCCTCACTGCATCTCCATACCTGACAGGTGGGGAGTAGAGAGAGGTGGTCTCTCACGACTTGTGACCAGATACACTTTGGCAAAATTTCCACGAGATGTTGTGCGATGTGCTGCTAACAAACAGTACATTTAAATGCGACAAACACTTGTGCAGTTCATTATTACTTCACATTGATAGCTACTAGTCAGAAGTACTAGAGGGTGTGGCAGAAGAAATGCCTGTGCTGGGGATTGAACCAGGAAACTTATCATAGTGATACACATAAGATGTTGGAATGTTGGAATTGTAGGAGTAGGCTTTACTCGATCATTACCTCCAATTCAAAAGGTACTTATGTACATTAAGGCCTTCATAATTGTCCTTCTAGGCAGTAATGCACACTGAGGGTAATTCTGTATTAGTTCTCTTGCTTACAGTCCCCTGGAGCTGGTTCTCAGGAAGGTCTTGGAGGCATAGAGAGGATCGTGGGTGGCGTCTGGGGTCCAGTAGAGGAAGAACGGAGAGCCAGCTCCAACTGACTTGTGGATGAAGTCCACGGCTTCCTGGATGTACAGCTGGGTCAGGTTCGACTCTCCAGTCGAGCGGTTGATAGGGAAGTCGGTGTAATATCTGTAAATGTTGTTAATCAGGAAAAGTGGGGGGAAAACACTGAGAGAGTGGGAGCTGTATGTATGCCAATCAGTTTCAGATGTGCGTGATTGTTGGTACAGGCTTGCAATGACAATTAGGTGATATTATTAGCTCTCCAAGGGAATTTACGTGCAACTTGTGAGCACTGATAAGTATGCGTCATCAGCTACATACATAATGAAAAGCACTAAAGTGCAAACCCTCGGCAAACTGTGCATGCACGGTACCACTAATGTTCACTTGGTTTTCACGCCATAACTTTAGAACGCGGCACTTTTACGAAATCACCATTTAAGCCAGTGTATCGATAAACCCTTTGGTATCGCTATTATGATGCCTCGTTTCACGTAGTCGCAGAAAACGTGGTAACAGACAAACCGACAGATAGACGCACACACACGAACCAAGTACCGTAACCCTCGCACCGAGGGTTAATTATAGTAGGGATGGACATGGCTCCACCCTAAAGGAAAAACTGTATGGGACATAGAGGTGGGACACACACACACAGAGGAGCTGACCGGCCAGCCATAGAGGCATTCCTATAGACCGGTATGTTGGGAGTGGTGACGTCGTTGTAGGGACCAAAGTGGCAGTTCGGTGATCCAAACCACTCATGGAACCCATGCTTGAGGGGATGGTACTGCGGTTGCTGGCCCAGGTGCCTGGGTTGACAGATACGTAACATTGGAGAATGCATAGTTTTCATGGTGTATAGTCCAGAATTTTGTTGCTTGGGCATACGAAATAGTACTACCACAGGGTACATAAAGGATATAGCCAATAAAATGTCTTATTGTTATGAAAATTGGCTCTAGTATCATGTTAGGAAAGATTTAAGAAATCATTCAGTGTATCCTCTCTAAAAATGTGCACCCTGAAATAAGGACACCTCTATTAGTAAGGACACCACTCTCCCCCAAGGAAACCTTTGCAATCCCATACCTCACTAATAAGGACACTTCCATTGGTGTCCGGATTAGGTGTGAAAAAAAGGGGCTCAATTAAGTTGAGACCAGGAAGAGCTCACCATTTGCCAATGATTTTAGTGGCATAGCCAGCCTGGAGGAGTAGCTCAGGAAAAAGAATCTCAGAGTCTGGGATGCCACCCACTATGTTCTGAGGAGTATAGGCTGTGGGAGACAGAGATAAAAACATGAAGGATCTGGAGAGGTCTTTAGGTCAATGAACTTGACCATACGATTAATGCAGGAATTATATAACTCAGACCTACTGGTCATCCAATATACCAAACACTGGGCAGGAAACTTTTGGGAAAGAAATGCTTCACACGTGCGGTTATTTCAGGGTTGTGCAAAAGCTTTTGCGGACAGGGACACTTTGTAATGGCATGATGCACAGTCTTCTCCGCCACTTCAATACAAAACCTTTATCCCTCGAAAGTTTCTCTGCTGGCAGTAATAGTGTTTTAGCTTAGTTCTCTTTCTAATCTGACCTACATACTGTTCACAGATTTTACTATTGGGATGTATTCCGATACCAGGCATTGTACATAGAGGCCTGTACTGATTGTATGGGGTACTTTACTTGGTTAACGTTACATTTGAACCTCAGAAAGAACCGTAGTCGAAAAACTTTCCAAAGCCGCCTGTTTTTAGTGGCCGTGCATATGCACTATTAAAAACGACAAATGCCTGGTTTTAGGGTACACCGTCACAATTGTGCCATACCATTCCGAGCATGAGCATTTGTGGAATAGAATCCATTCCTGATTGGTAATCGGCCAGTTAGCATGGCGGCACGAGACGGAGAGCAGAGTGGATTGGCAGAGTAAAAGGAAGGGAGGAGCATGCCCTCTGCTGCCATCTTGTCTAAGTTTGGAGTCTCCTTGGCTGCGTTGCCGTACACACCCAGGTCTCCCCAGCCCATCTGCAACAGTAAACTCATAGATAGTAGTAGCTAGCTATGACTATAACTGGCTAGCGCGCACGTACGTAGTCAGACCGGCCAGGATACATACGACGGTCATGTAATAGGGACACTCTACAAGACAGTAACTATAAACAAACAGCTCTGGCCGGTCGGTGGACAGTGGTGCAAAATCCATACGAGCCCCTCCCACTGGATCTCTTGTCTTGCTGTTCACTACACACGCAACAATCAAACGCAAGCTGACGTTGGTTGGGCTTCTGTTTGGCTCGCAAAGGCTATATAGTAAGTTTATTATGAAGTAGCTAGTCGATGCTATTCTCACATCGTCCATGAGCATGAAGACCATATTAGGTGGTTTAGCTGAAACCACTGCAGCCAGAAACAGCCAGATAGTCACCTCTATACATTTCATGACTGCCTTAGTGAAATCAACCGATCACGACAAACAAACAATCACTTTGCTGTTCTGGGCATGCGCATGCGCACTCGTATTAGCACACGTGCGCCATGAGCAACACCCACTTTTCCCACGTGGTGGCAGAGAGAACTGGAAGACGGTGCTGTAAGATGCTAGTACTGTTTGAGACGGCGGCTGGTTACGCCATATTCAAGGTAAAGAGCATTATACGCACCAAGTATGCATGTTCCATTCGCCGTTGGTCACGCTTTTCCTCGTGTCCCTAGCTGCTGGACGAGGGAAAACTGCAGAGCATCGACGATCTGTACCAGCAGTTCGAGAATGCGGAGTCTGCAAGTAAACTGTAAGCATTACAATAATTATAGCATCGTTCTGTGGTAAACAGTGTAGGTGGTGTGATGGCTGTTGATGCGACATCTTTTGGGGATTAGCGTGAATTTAGGGACAGGGGTGAACTTTATGGAAAGGAAGTGACACCCACTATGACATACAGGGTGTATTATTCAGAATCTTATGAATCGTTCACTCGAGTCAGGGTGTGTTTAAAGAGACATATCTTTCTATATCCACGAGGGTTATCGTGTGCATATGAATCTGCATAGGAGTCGCAGATATCTAGTTTTGAGTAGTGCATTTTTCAAAGATTTTACATTCACCAGAGCCCGTCTAACCCCCACATGCACACAGCTATTCTCCTTGAATGCTCTTGAGGCTGTGAGGTATAATACAGCTTTTACTTTTTCCTGCTCAGGGTGAAACTAAAACATTTTTCCAAGTTTTCAGACATGACAGATGCTCTGGCAGGTAATGTGAAATGAATCTCATCACTCCATGCACCATTGTTTGCATACATCTACAGTTGCCCACTGTTTGTGTAGATAACATTCATTAACCCTCGCCACGCATGTGCAGCGAGGGTTACTGTAGTTGTAGCTAGCCCGTGTCAGGCTCTCCATGAGCTACTAGCGGGAGACCGCGAGTAAACGCATACTAATGCCCAGCCCATCAATTAGCGGTACCGTGCATGTGCAATTCACCGGGGGTTTGCACTTTAGTGCTTTTTCATTTAACCCTGTAGCTGCTACTGCTGCGGTGGAGGGGAAGATGAGCAAGGGATTAAAGAAGGTGCTGAAGAAGGTGTTTGTGTCGGATATGCAGGAACAGCTTGCCGTGGCCGATGCTAAGCTGGGCAGTGCCATCAAGGTATGAAATTTAACTCCGGTTTTCAATTTTAAACTGGCCAAAGTTGAACTCCTCTAATGTCGAGGCCAATGAGATGGACGAAAGTGCCCATGTTAGTTATTGCAAAGAAAAGTGAAAGAAAAGTGTCCTAGTATAAAGAGGTGTCCTCTATTCAAGGAGTCCTGACCTAGTCCTGCCATACAATATACCACACCATGTATGATACAGCAAGTGGGCTAGGCAGTGGGTTCCGACTTGCTCTGCAGAGTGCAGCAGCCATAATGTTGAAACCTTTCCTGAGGCCAAATGCAATCATCAAATTTTACCATTTCACCGCCGCAGGAGAAGCTGAACATCAGTTGTGTCCACAGCTCAGCCATCACAGAGCTGTTCAGAGGAATCAGGGGACAGATGGCCAACCTCATTACAGGTCTAGCACCTCTAGCATGCAGTGTGTGTGCTTATTGCAACATTGCCTTTGTGATTCTCTGAGCGGGCATTGTGGCTGAATTGTACATGGTTCTCGAGATATAGTAGCAGGATCAGCTGTCTGTGGATGTGTGTGCTGTTTCATTGTACTGTACGTGCGCAGAGAAAGGTGTTGAGTGTTCTGTAGAGTGTGACCTGTGTGATATTGTATCTTGTAAAGTGGTAATAATGGTAGGGGCTGCATGGACTAAAGGTCCAGCTCAGTCGCTAGAGTGCTTGCCTAGTGTCGTGTGTTCGAATACCACTTATTGCACCTCTTTAAGACGTGCGTCTGGGGTGTCGCGTGTGTTACGTTTTCTATGCTATTTGCCTGTGCTTACAGCGTTATGACACATGCTATTGTGAAAAGCATGTTGTCTAGTGCTGTTTTTTGGTCAGCACTGGTCTATGTGAGCTGTGATGCTCCATGTGTTTCGTTCAGTCGCTGCCGCTCGATTCGGAAAGTGAACTAGTGATGGATCTGGGGCCTGTCTCACAGGTGAGCAGTGTGATAAACATCATGTAACGATCATGTGATCATTACACACCGGCTGACATATTAATGTGATTATGTGCTGTCTTATCATGTAATTGCAGTTTTATTATGTAATGGACGTGATCATATTATTATGTGTCATGGTACTGATCATGTGATCATTACGACTGATATGATGTCAAGTGACTGATCATGTGACCTGAACCGCTGTCCACTTCGTTCTCTCTCTTCGACAGTCTCTCTCGCTACAAGCTCACGTCAGGCCCGACAAAGTGAGCCACTATGATCATTCAGGCCATATGTGAGTTTTACTGGACTACGTTCGGAAGGAAATGTTATGTCGTCACTATTTACACATTAACACAATTCGAGTCTGTCGTGTAGAACGGATGCTATAAAATCTGCATGTGCACATAATGCACGTGTTTGCCTGTCGGGTGTGCCGAAGCACTTCAGCCAGTGTGTTTTCTCCCTCCTATACTCCTATCTCTCCCTCTTCTCCTCCTCCTTTCCCGCCCTCTTATCTCCCTTCCTCCTCCCTGTCCGTCACCCTACACTCTTTCCCTCTCTCCCTCCTCCACCTCCCTCTCTATTAACATATATACCTCTCTTCTCACTCCCTGCTCCCTCCCTCCTCCCTCTATCCACCTATCCCCCCTCCTCTCTCCCCCACAGCCCTACTAGATGACCTTGACAAGGAATCATACTACAACCTGCGAGCTGCATGGGACGTGCACGTACGCTGTGTCACTTCCGTGAGTATGGGGAAGATCGTGACTGACAACCTCACCTATTGCAGGACTGTCAAGGCAATCGGTCAGAACCACCACACACACACACACACATTTTACATACTGTTGTAGTCTGTGCATACCTAGATATTTTGGTTGTTGAATTTCTTAGACTTAAAATGCTGTGTTGGGCCTTGGCTTGTAGACAAATGTTGCACTTGTTTACTGGTTTTTCTATTAGCATACTAATGAGTGGGTATGTACGTATTTTGTGTGGACAGTGTGTGTAGGGTTGCCGCAGAAGTGAGATCAGTGAGGCAGATCTGTCGAAAATCCTGCCGGAAGAGCGTGAGGAAGATGGTTCGACAGGCCTGCGAGATCTCAATTCCATGGGCACAGATTGGTACACATACCACATCCGTGCACAGCTCTACATAGTACACTGTATGTTGATACATGACAGTGGAGGAGAATGGTATGTGATCTTGTGTTGTCTCGGTCTATGCGATTGAAAACAGACACAGCATTGAAGGTAGTCAGGAAGAGTGTGGATCCTCTACTTGTGCACATCCAATGGTTGTATACCCTGGCCGCAGAGGGTTACGGCACTTGGTCTGTCAGATGTGTCTGTCTGATCGTCTGTCTGTCTGTCTGTTACACGTTTATCTTCTGCAACCACCACATCAACGAGACAACACACAAAGAGACGATACCTAAAAGTCACGCGCAATACAAAAACAGAACTGCCTGATAATAAATTATGGCGAATTTCGAGTACTGAGCAGTTCAACGAGCTATGGCTGTGAAAACCTAGTATGTATAATGCCATAGGCACAAATTAGCACTGGCTGTAGATACCTCAACCAGATCCGCTTGCTCGGTGCATCTATGAAAGCACTAAGAATGTCACACACAGAAGGCGTGCATCGAGCTATCCCAGCATGCTATCTACTACTGTAGCTAGCCCGTGCAGACCTCTGCGAACCTACTAATGCGAGAGAGACCCATAAACGATATTATTATAACCCACCCAGCAATTAGGAGTACAACGCTGCATGTAGTTCCCGAGGATTGCACATTAGAGGCTTTTTCATTTGTGTAAGTATATAAGCAGGTCTCTTTGTCATGGCAAACCTTTCAAGCTCATGTTCGGATAAGAGCATTTTAACTGCATGAATAAAGTTCTACTCTCAGTGTGTCAAGAATTATAATTGCAGACGCGCGTATAAGCGTGAAGAGCAACTACTAACCGGGTTAGATATTCTCGCGATATGCCAGTAACGATCAGTGACGTTACGTAGATCGTTCACATAGCTTAATATGTCCATTAGTCCACAGCTAGGGAATGTCCCAATTAGTCACGCTTAGGAATGGAGTCATTTATCCGGCAGTGGCTCGCATATTCCTAGGAAGTCTTGCTTTCGTGCGCGCAGTCAGTAGAGCTCGCAAACACGAGCGTGGGAGCCTCATCGAATCTGTTTACAGCATTGGCTGCAAAAGGCGCGAAGGCAATAATGTCGCGTGGCATTCGCTAGTAATAATCATGCAAGTAAATATTTGCTTATCTCTACAAGATAAAATTCAAACTTGTCATGGAAGCCAGCTAACAGGCAAGTGGTAGGTGTAACGCCGTAAAGTGCTTGCTTTTCCTTTCATTTCTCGGGTCAGGTTAGGCAGTGTATGGTTTGACATGTGTGTGTTACGGCTTAACTGTACATATCCTAGGGCAGGTGCTACACGGCTAGTTATACTGTCGCACTTACTAACCACACCTCGTTTACCTGTGCATCAGCCGTCACTCCTAACCCTTCACGCACCACCATTTGGTCTCCTGCGCGACGCTCGCGCATTTCTCTCTTCATCAGGTGTCTGAAGAGGAGGCGCATAGAGGAAGCATAGTATTCGCTTTGCTGTATCCAGGTCATGACGATATCGACTACACAGCTCAGCATCTATGACTACCTTTTCAAGAAGCAGGTGAGAGACGCATGACCGACACCAGCACTGCAGAACAGTGCAGTGTGTGTGCTAGCATACAGTGGAGTGAGACTAATTACGCTAAACTACGTCATGCTTTTTCACACCGTTTTAGTACCTAACGTAATCTATGTTGCAATGTAGCAAACTTCTAGCGTGTTGATATCAACGTTCTAGGCGTCACTACAACACGGCGATACTACAGCTAAATGGACGGTTAACCACCAAAATCATTACATAATATCAGCACGATATAAAATGATAGAAGGTGTGCGGCGGTCGTGCACATACGCATTACTATGCCATGCAATATTATGAGAGTTGGAAGTGGATTATGGCCTTAGATAAAATGACATGATCGTGATGGACTAGTGTGGCACTCAATGGTCAGTCGAAGCTAACTAGTTCTTTGGGAAATCTTGCTCTGACTATGACATAAGAGGGCTGTCTTGCATCGGTGTATCGATAATTGCGATCTACACTTAGCAGATCCTTTCACACACCCATGGGTGGTGTGTTGTCGAATTAGTCGTGCTGTATATATAATTACTAGATGCGGCACTAGGCGACCCACTACTTATTGCCATCGCGCCTAGCAGCCAATGGCGAAACAGTGCAGATCTGAGGCCAGCATGGACGTGGGCGCCGGCGCCTCACATACTGAGCTGCAAACGCGAAGCAGACTTACCTACGAATCGGCCACATGCGGCAGAAGACTGACTTTCCTACGAATGACGGAAGTTGACATATTGCAACTAAGCGTGACA